CTCAAGGTTAAGATTGAGTATACCAACCCATGATTAACTTGAGATTAACCAAAATCTTGGGTTAGGCTTGGGCTTGGGTGTGTGTAGCCCAATATTTACGTAGAATAGATTGATGGCATGCAGATATGTATATCATAAAATGTTGGGCGGGCTCAAATTGGGTAATTTTGGGTCGGGCGATCCAAGGCCTCAATTCAAGACCAGCTTGAAGTTCAAACTCAATCCCAAACTATGCAAAAGCTTTGGTTGAGTTGGGTAGGGATTGGGGTTGGGCTCACCCGAGTTGCACCCCTATCTCCTTTTGCTTTAAATTCTTTTAACAAGGCCCATGCATCGCATGGGTCCCCGCTGGTACCAATAGATAGACCATGCCATTCGAATTGAGTAGCATCACCTGGGTCTACTCGATAACACATAGAGAAAATAACCAAACAATAGTCACCTTTTTTGGTTGTATTGACCAAAATTAACGAGTTCACTTCTACACCCCACAAATGCCCCACATGCACATTTCAGCGTGCATTAGGAACATCTCCCGTACTTGTTATTGGGAGATGTTCCCAATACATGGTTGGGATGTGCTGTGGGGTGCAGATGTGAATTCAAAAGTGACACTATAGTACACTAATTTTCTCCTTTAAACACATGGAAGAGAATAGATACATGAGTCCACATATGTGCCCCACATGCACATCTTAGTGTCCATTGGGAAATGTTGCCAATACATGGTTGGGATGTGCTATAGGGCACAGATGTGAATTACAGATACATGGAGTAAAAATGTCTTAATTTCTTATGGTGATTCAAGCACCCCTAGAGGTTCCTTTGGCAAATTTTAACTTTTATTAGGTAAATTACTAAAACCTCCCATGAAACATCCCCTGAAGTTTGATAATTGGAATTACCTCTCCGAAGTTTCTGGCACAGTTGTAAAAGTAGACCCCCTCTATTAAAATCCTCTAAAAAGAGGCTTGAAAATGTTGAAAATGAAGGTTGTGATGATACAATGTGAAAATCCAGGAACTCTTGTCAAGTTTGGACACGGGGCCCAAACTTCTTCAATAGCCCAAAGTGAAGGCTATTTTCTACCACAACTATAAATGCTAATAATCAAGAGATATTAAGAGAGAGTGTTATTGCTGAGAGGGAGAAATGTTCTCAGTTCAAGTGCACTCCTCAATATTGTGGGTTATATTTATAGACCCTACTATTGGGTTTGTTCTAATGGATAGGAACTACCCACAAATCTCTCTAAATAGTTGAGATTAGCCTCTGGGATGAGACACTTGTCCCTAGTTGTTGAGACATTTTCTCAACCAACAACTACTCTAGCGGACCAAGTTTAAAAGAGATAAGTCAAAACAAATTTTATTTTATAGGATAATAATAATAATAATAATAATAATAATAATAATAATAATAATAATAATAATAATTGAAAAGAGGTGTTGATTGTGTTGGTCCACATAGAACAAATACTCCATTGATCGTGTGGTTATTCCCGTTGGCCTATGGATAGTCCCATACGTCGAGGATGATATATATCGAGGGCCATAGGCCACTCGGTCCAACAGAAAATACCCATACAGTTACTTTTGATCAAAATATTTATTTTCTAAATTTTCTCTTCATATGAATTGCTACACAAAAATAGGTCAAAACCTTTTAAATCTCTTTTCTGAAATTGATTTATTTTTCAAATTTACTATCAATTGTTCAAGGCTAAAGCTACAACTTTAAATTCTTTTTTTTTTTCTTGTTGTTTATAAAGTTTATATTATTATTATTTTTTTCTGTAGAAACTAGCCTCAACAGTAATTGCATGGATATTTTAGATATTTTTGTGGCTTTTGTTAGATGATTCTAATAAAGGGGATCTACTTTACAATTGTATTTGAAAGATAAGGGGGATGATTGCAATTACCAAAAACTTTAATGGATGTTTCAGCAGTCATAAAGTTCAGGAAAGGTTTCAGCAATTTACCCTTCTTGTTAAGAGTGAAGACCACCTCGGTGCTCCGTGATTTCTGGACACCCCCATTGTCGTGTTCCTTGCAATCGAGAACAAGGAACTCACTGTTCTTACTTGTCACCAGACACCCACTCTCTCTATCCCCTTCTTGCAATCTGCTAATCCTAAATTCTTAATATTGTTGGGAGTTGGGACCCACAGCTTCTTTTTCGATTTCATTAAACTCTTCTCTTGCTGGTTGCTGCATCCTGCATGTATTACCACCTCTAAACTCTTTTTACTGTTTCACATTCAACCTTTATTATTTCTATTTCTATTTTTATTATACAAAATTAAAAGCAGGCCCATTAATCAGTCACCCTCACCCATTACTTTTTATACTTTCTTTTATGTATATATATATATATATATATATATATACTTTTTTTCTGTGAATTCTCCACTGAACCGTATTTCCTAGCCATGCAGAACCACAACCACTTAGGGAGATCCAAATTTCATCAAGAGAACATAGAAATTAATGGGTGTAGGAAGATCCAAATTCCACCCCTACAATTGGTTTGAATGATATATCGTTTATTAACAAGTCGTTCGCATTCAAGTTATTAACAAGTCATTATTGGGTTGGGTCACTGCTTGAATCGTCTCCCCTGTCAAACCAATATTCCACCCCAACTTTCTTTGCAAAATTCAATTCTGTTCTCTTCTTTCTCCAGAAAAAAAAAGGAACTGTTCACTTCTTGAGTCTGATATAGTGGGTTCAACTTTAACCCTAAAAGATTTATCTTTTCTAGTACAGTTGGTAATTTCTAATACTTAATTCTGATTCAGGGTTTTTCTTTTCAATATTATTGAGTTTTAATTTCATACCCTGTTCTGCAGCTACTGCATTATTTAATGATCAGTGGAACCGTTAAATCAGGGCGTGCCCTGCAGTTCCACTCACAACCATCTAAACTCGTGAATTATTGAAGACTTGAGCTTGGAATCGACGTTCTCTTTTTTGATTATTTTTTCATCCTTGTGTTCTCGAGGGATCCAACCCAAACTTTTGAATGAGTTGGGCTATGATTTTTGGACTAAAGATGGGCCTGACCACCCCATGTCAGACTGTAACTAATGAATAGAAACCTCAGGTAGCCCAACCCTACCTGAGATATTTTTTTATTAGGCCCAACTGAACTAGCCCTGGCCCCCGATTACAGCCCATTCGAGTATGGAGTACATATATACATGGGAATGGGAAAATTTTGGTCGACCCGTCGACCTCCTTTGAACACGTGGCATAGGGGTTTATAAATTATACATAGAGGAACTCTGTTATAATTTTGATGAATATGCGATTGATGTAGTCATGATGTTACCTTTTTGGTGAAACAGTGGATTTCCATGATTCCTCCTTTTTAAAGTGGATGAATGAATGGTGAATGGAGTAATAGAGTAGGGCAGACCGAAAAGGATTTGTTGTTTTTAAGCATATACTCTCTGTGCCATCATGACCTGGATGGAGATCACGCATGGCGTGACCATCAATTTCCCACATATCTTTACAATCATATGATGGGTTTTAATAGAAACAATTGATGTCCGTCTTCATCTTCATCATATTTGATTTATGTTACATTGCACATGCAGCCCAGATTGTATAGAAGAATTCGAGATTTTATACCACCATTGTTCTTTTAAGGGTTAGGTTTTTATGTTATCTTTTTAATTTGTTTTTAGTTTTAGGGACAGTAAATAATCATCAAAAGATATATTGTAAAGGAGGAGACACATTATGCTCGACATCCACAATATTAATTTGAATCACGGATGGGTGCAGTGTTCGTGATTGCTTATTACTGGTAATGAGAGTCTACGTACTGATGCAATGCACTGGGTTAGTTTTAAATTATGGATACAGAAATTATATTATCAAGAATAAATACAATTAATATATAGAAGATGCTCTTATTTCCTTTCCTTTTTTTTTTCCATAAATCTAGTTTTGTGAAAATACAAGATATTTCGTATGTCCATTAAATATCCTTTCCTTGATGGGGACGATTCCCTCATCTATTTCGTAGATGTAACATCTTATGAAGAAAATTTATGAGATTGGGTTTCTTTAATTTAGGGGGGCGTTCTACGACATGAATGCTTTGTTTTTATTTGTTTACATCAGTAAAAAATAAAAACATGTTTTTGAACTCTACTCTTGTTTTCAAAGGAAAAAAAAAAGTTGGTTTTGTTTTAAAAAATAACACATTTTTGAAACCAATAGAATATTGGTTTTTAAAATAAAAACAAATTTTCTAGTATAGAAATTATATGATTTATGGAAAATAGTGTTGAATAATAAGATACATGTTTTTGAAACCGGATTCAATAACATGTTTTTGATTTCAGTTTTGAAAACAAAAAAATATACATACACAACCAAGAACATGTGTTTTTTTTTGGGTTTTTGTTTTAAGAAACAATATATTTTTAAGTGAAATAGTTTTGATTTGTTTTTGGAACCAGCAACAAGAAAAGCAATTCATGTTGTAAGAATGCCCCTTAGGGGGCGTTCTTTTTTGGGTTTTGAGAGGGGGAAAAATCCCATTGGCCAAGAAACCCATTTTCTTTTTTCAAATTTATGTGGGAACCAGGGAAATTTCCTAGGTATCCATCTCCTAGGTGGGTAAATAACTTTCCCACCTAGAGGGAAAGTCACTAACACTTGAATGGGACAAAAATAATCCTTTTAATAATGAATTTTTATAGATAAAATGGCCATTGCCTTATTTACATGGGAAATAAAAGAACATGGGTAAATGCACTTACCCGGGTAAGTCTTTCCCATTACTTTAGTAAGTAACTTACCTAAAAGTGAATTGGGCCTTAGTTTTTTTTCGAAAGAAAGAATTGCTCCCTTAGTCTTTCCCATTACTTTGGTTGTTAAGATCAGTTATCCTACTAAATTTGCTTCCCAGTGTTTGGTTGCTTAGAAAATTTTGTAGAATGGTTGGATTCCACTTTGACAAATCCATGCAATCTCCGATTTCACAACATAAGACTTGCTTTTGGAATGATATGACACAATAATATTTGAACGTTGCCATGTGTCGTGCTTACATGGCTCTTATATTTGCAACCAAGTATCTAAATAGCACCTATATTTGTCCTAGTAGCAAGTTCACTTTGACCAACACATTGACACTTGTGACACCATGCACAGACCAACATGACCCATTCTATTCTATCCTCACTTGGAATGGGTATCACAAATTAAAATCATGAATGCCTTTTAATAAAGAAAACACCCATAAATCCCTCTGTTTTGCAGAAATCAATACAGCCCGGCCTGCTTACATTTTGCAGAAATCAACACCCATGAATCCTTCTGTTTTGCAGAATCCCTGTTTGATGGATAGTTCAGTTTACCCACAAAAACAGAAAGACAATAGTTAAGATGTGGCCTGTGGGTTAATGGGTTTGGTCCCAAGTCTTTCATACAAGAATTTAAAGAAATGCACATTTATATTTCAAAAAATCGAAGCCAACATATGCACTTAAATATTTCTTTAGCCCTGTTGCGTAGATACAAATGCATATAAATTTGTAGATACAAATGCATATTTCTTTAGCCCTATGGATTAATGTATAGATTGATTGGATTTATTTCTCTGAAATTTAAGAAAATTGACAAGGCAAATTAGCACATATAAATGCATATAAATTTCAAGTAAAACTGGAATATTATAGTTAGGAAACAAGCATATGGCAAATCAAAAGATCACTAAAATAAGCACAAGTAATCAACTGCAAATTAGCTTTTTAAATTCAAGGGAGTAAAATAATTAAGACAAAATAGAACAAGAAAATAATAAATTCCGGGTTTATTAGCTTTTCAATTTCAAACGAATAAGAACTTAATCATGTCAATGAATGAAGAAACCTTGGTAGACCTATTGAAGGTGTTTATTAACTTTAAAAAGCAGAGTTTGCAGATCTAAGAAAAATAGTCTAAAAACATCCAAAAATAGGCTACTTTAGCAGATCTAGCACAGGGTTTTAGATCTGAAAAAATGCAAAAATTTTATATCTGCAACAACAAGCTAGGACAATGGAAAAAACGACAGCATAATCCAGGCTTACCTTCATCGGAGATGAGGAAGACGAAAGTTGGCTGTTGTGCTTGTGAATCTCATCTGGTGGAGAAAACGAAATGATGTCCAAACTAGGGAAAAGTACAAACAATGGGACCAAGTGTTAAACATAGGATAGAATAATGCCGCCCTCGACATACATTTGCCGGAGATGATGGCGATGGGTTGTGACCATTGGAAGGCTGGAGCTCGGAGATGACGACGGAAACGATGGGGTTGTGACCGTTGGAAGGCTGGAGCTCGGTTAAGACGATGGAGACCTACATTGACAATATTTTGCACATGCTTCTCGGTATTTTTGTTTCTCGGTGGGGTGGGGTTGCACCTATTTGGTGAGACCCCAGATCCCTAAGTTTGTGATATCGTTTCTAGTCGCATCTCGGTATTTTCCTTTTCTCGTCGTAGTCGCGGCAATCAAACAGACTGTTAGTGAATGAATGGACTAGATTTCATTATTATTATTTTTTCGCTACTAAGAGATGTTCAATTTTTCATGCTCTCATGCTTTTAATAAGTATACTGAAATTGATTTAAAAAGTTAAGTAAAAAAATATAATGCACATTGTGGGTAAAGTAAAAAGTATTAAAATTGATTAACAAGCAAGGATCAGAGTCTCAACTACATGTAAAACTTAACAACCTCTTGTATTGCTCAAGGCATTGTTAATAAATATCCTTATATTTTCTTTTACATTTCCCATTGAAATATATATTAATCTATAACCAATTTTATGGTAGGTTGAGATTGATTTGATATTCCATATATTGCATTTTATCAAGCATGTATATTGATGACTAATGGCAAATCCCAGTCCTAGGAAAAATGAGGTAGATCCTACTCTTTGTCCACCAAATTATGTATCTTGTGTATAGCTTTCAGTTTATTTTAGATAGAAATTTGCTAGATTAGGAGGCCTTCTATAATAAGAATGTTTTGGAATTGCTTCATCAGCATAAAAACAAAAACATGTTCTTGAGTTCTTGAACTTTGTTTTTGTTTTCAAAGAAAAAAAAAAAACAAGTGTGTTTCAAAAAGCAATATACCATCAAAGTTATGGATTTCTATAACAAAAACAAATTTTCTAGTATTGAAGCCATATGATTTATTTAATAATCAGAGGAAAACATGCTTTTAATCAAACCAGAAATTCAAGAATATATTTTTGGTTTTAGTTATAAAAAAAAAAGAAATGTATAAAGAAGAATATGTTTTTTGTGCTTTTTGTTTTGAGAAACAATCTATTTTGAAACCAAATGATTTTGTTATCAGAAGAAAAACAATTCACCTTGTATAACAGGTCCTGAATGTATAAATAGCTAGATTTCCTTGTTGTTCTTCTTCATTAAATAGGACATATATCTATTATTACAAGAAACAAAATATACAGCTTTTGTAATAGGTTTGCCTGTTGCATGCATGAGTGTTTGATTGATGGCAATGGACATTCAACAATGAATCTAGCTAATGAAGAAATATCCGTTAAAAATTATAACGACATGACATCATATTCTATACAATACAATATATGAAGTAATGATGGATGTATTGTTGGTGGTTGGATACTACTGGTATTGGGAATCTCATGCAATGCACATGATTCAATTAAACATCAAAGCCAAGTAGCCAACATCTATCTTTTTTTTTTTTTTTGTCAAGAAACCGATAAATACAGAGTAGTGGACAATTTGAAGTATCTTTCCTTTTATAATTGTATAGATTGGTCTCGTGTTCATGTATATATCATGTAAAACAGTAACCCCATTAATTGCTTTTTAATGGACTTGGATACAAACAATTTTGCTGCATGGGTCGAAATATATATATGGGAGGCTGATTTATTAATTTCTATAAACCATTAATTGTCTATATATGGATGGATCTTTCAGAGTTCCACAGCCATTGTTTATTTGTGCCGTTTTTTGGAAAAGTGCAAAATATGTCTGTCTGGCTTCAATTTGAAGACACCAGCTTTCTCTCTTGCTAATTAATTTGCTATTGTAACACAGATACATAATATAATTTATGGCAACTTGACACCAGATGATAGAGTTAAATTCCATTAATTTAATTCTAATCTCACCCCTTTTTTGGGAAGTAGCAAAAGGAGATGATCCATCCCATCTAATTAAAAGCCGACTGACATGGTAGATGGACCTTTTTACCTTATTTGTAGATATGAAATCATGTAATAACTGGCTCAGTTAAAGCAAACAACTTGGGAAGACAGGTGACCGTGTGATTTTATGTCACAATCCCTCTCTTAATTAATTTCTTCTGTTTTTATTTGGTGACTGATCATGTGGTGTCTTATGTGAGTGGTGCCATGAATTTTTCCATTTATATATAAACAATAATTTGATTTGTTTGGATAAGATATGCTTAATTTATTGCTTTTATGGAAAGGTTTACAATATAATCTCTCTGATTAATCACAACATAATGACTACATAATCAAACAGAAATCATGTGAGTATATATCCTGTTCCTGTAACAAATAGGGAGATTAGATCCTCTTTGTCTGATACTGTTCAATTGTCTCCCTCCATCTGTCTTGTTTCTATGCAGACACTAATGAGCTAGTTGCAGAATTATGTGAAAGTATCTCTCCTCAATTTCAGGGTTTCTTTTTTTCTTTACTTGCATTTTCGATAATGTAGGTATGGGAAAGATGATGAATAATATGTCAAGGAGAAAAGCAGAGAGAGGAGGTGGGGGATGAGAGAGAGAGAGATGGCCAAAGTTGCACAGCTAAGGCTGAATGAAAAAAAAAACTAGACAGGGCAGAAAGCACATGTGGGTAGGTGGATGCTGACACAGGCCAAACATATGGGACAGTGGGCATGCACACAGAAGGGGGCTTGTATCTTTTGGTCAAGTGCCCCCCCCCCCTCCCCTCACAAACCACAAACGAACAAGGGAGTGAGGTGTACCATTTGAGATTGTAAAGCCTCAAAGTTAGACATGTAGGCCCCTCTGAGCATCTGTGGAAGGCGACATGTCTTTTGTAATCCAAACACCTGATGACGACGACAAGCCTTTGCTTGGCTACAGCAGTACATCAGGTAGGGACAGTGTGTAATCTGCAATGGGCATTTGGATACCACCCTCCTCTCATCTCTACATCTACATCCAAGTCTCCAACCTCAACCTAACTTATTAATAATAAACCAACTCAACAATAATATCAACATCTATACACACACAGATCCTTATTGCCTTATTGGGGTTTGAAGCCAATATTAGCATCAACCATCAACCATCAACCATCCCTTGTGAAACCAACTACTTCTCTCCTAAAAAGATTCTTCATGCAAGCACTCCCCACTCGATCCCCACTCCCAGTGGGTACAGTCAGCCGCAATAGGTGGGCGAATCTATTAGATTACATATGGAGTTGATCTCTCTCTCTGGCCAATCTGAAATCATATATATATATATATATATATAAATGTAAATGTAAACAAAATAACAAAATCACTACTTATAATGAATGATTCTGATAGAATAATAGGGTAGAATAGATTGGGAGGATATGGCCGAATCTAGACTTGTTTTTAATTTAATAACAACCATATGCTTATACCATACTGACTCGTGTTGTTATCATGTGGAGGGGTTGGTAGTCATTGTAGCCACAATTCATTGAGCTCTCCGCTCTCCACTCTCCAGGTCCACCCAGCGATGGTGTAAACGGGTCGAATTCGAATCTAATCACATAATATTTGAATTCGAATTCAATTAAGAAATTTGATATCTAAATTTGATTTGACATTGATGGATATTGAAAATTTATATTTAAATTTGAATCTGATTAAATATTTGAATATTAGATTTAATCAATTAATTATTTTAGATAATTAATAAATACATAAAACAAGTATTTTATTTATATAATATATATATATATATATATATATATATATAAATTATTTATATAATTTAATTATTATATATAAATTATATAAAATATTTAAATATTTTATATATTATATGATGTAGCATGATCCGATCACTCCTATCTGGCACTCACGTGGTTCCTGAAAGGTACCTGAGATGAGGAAGAAGAAGAATTCCCGGGGAGTTTACCCGGTGGGGATACTCCGATGCTTAAGTTAGTACTATGTAGAAGAAGCAAGAAGGAGATGAAGGCTAAGAGTGCAGATAGCGCGTTCTCACTATACTTTTGAGATTAGAGGTCTCAAGAAGAAATTTCTCTTCTGCCCTGAGGGCTTTTATAGGGACATTTACGTCAGGTCGGGCATAACTGCCACTGGGCTCCTGNAAGAAGAAATTTCTCTTCTGCCCTGAGGGCTTTTATAGGGACATTTACGTCAGGTCGGGCATAACTGCCACTGGGCTCCTGCCACAGCCGTTACCTGCCAGGGCTGCACAGGTAGTCGTTGTGGCGTACATCTCGCCCGGGTGAATGACACGTCTCCGGAGTGACAGGCACGCCCTTGCCTGCTGTGAGATGTGGATGCAGACTGTCGAAAGGACTGGGACTACACCGTCAGTAAGGGATATGGCGCAGTCTGACCGGTACGGTCTATCAGTCGGAAGCTTCGTGGGGAGTGCTCGTGCGGTTCATTCGCGAGCTATTCTGTAGTGAACTTGGAACACTCCAGGGTTACCCTTAGTGGGATTGGCCCTGGGGATGGCTCGTCTGCTTGGGAGCTCGGACGAGCTAATGACCTTAGCTCACGAGCTAAAATTGCCTCGGAGTATCTCTTCAAAGGTAGGTTGGGGGGCCCAGGGTTCGCCTCGTGGCGAACCCCTTTCACGAGCTACAATGTAGCGAGCTGTTTTGTAGACCCGTCACTTAGTCGTACCAGACTACGGCGCTGAGCTGCCGCTCGTGCTGAGTCAGTGCCCATGTGTCACCGTTTCATAGGTTGGGTCAAATCATCCTCCATCAATTGCCCCCCACTCCTCGGGCTAAGAGCATTGCCTTAGCGTGGGGAGTTTATGAAGCACGATTGACTGATTTGACCAAAATTCAAACTTGATTGACTGCCCACATTAAATGCATTTGCGGGAATCAAGAGATTTTCTGACTTTCCTATCCTTTTGGATTCCAAAAATGTACTGAGGTGGCTTTTAACTCTGAATGTTGTGCGGCCGCGATTACCTTAATTACGGAAGACGCCGCCAATCACCTTCGGTTTTCAGGAGGCATGCGGTCAGGGCGCCCGCAGGCCGTTGGATTTGCCTTGATCCGGACTGTCAACTTGGAAGGGTGGAGACTATAAATAGGGGGGCCCCTTGGGCCTCACATTCTCCCACACCATCTTGCTGTGTTCGGATTCTGAGGTCGCGCACTTTATCTAGTCTACCCGAATTCCTCAATTTGCTTCGCTCCGTCTCTTCTGGTGAGTCTCAATCGCTGTCAGCCATGTCTGGGTACC